TAACTATTATTATAAGAAAACTCTACTAATGGCAAGTGGATATCCCAGTTTCCACCGAACTCAAGTATACATGCCCTCAACATGTCTTCTAATGTCTGAATGGTACGCTCTGACTGGCCATCAGTTTGGGGATGATACGCGGTACTAAGGGCAACTCGCGTTCCCAACTCTCGTTGCATAAACGACCAAAACTTGGAAGTGAACCGCGAATCACGATCAGAGATTACTTTCACCGGTACACCATGTCGTGCAATAACCTCGTCAATGTACAATCGTAGCCATTGATCCATCGAATAAGACTCGCGAACAGGAAGAAAGTGAGCGCTTTTTGTCAATCGGTCTATGATAACCCAGATACTGTCGTGTTGTCTAGATGTCTTTGGCTGTTTCGTCACAAGGTCCATCATCAACTCTTCCCACTTCCATACCGGAACTTCAAGAGGCTGTAAACTTCCATATGGTTTCTGGTGTTCGGCTTTCACTTGTAGACAAGTGATACACTTTTCAACATATCGGCCAATATCAACTTTCATTCCCAGCCACCAGTATTCGGCACGCAGATCATGATACATCTTTGTACCTCCCGGAGAATAGATAACCGTGATTTATGTGCTTCCTCTAGAATAACCTCTCGCAAACCCCCAAGTATCGGTACCCATATTCGGGTTTTAAAGACTTTGAGACCACGATTGTCTTCAGATAAGGAGTCTACATAGCCAACCATACGTTCAGACTTCACGTGGTGTGGCTTTAAAGCCTCGATTTGCCACTTATGAAGGTCATCGATAAGAGTAGACTTCATTGAAACATGAGTGATAGCATAACAAATACTAGCTACATGTGCCTTCCGACTCAGCGCATCCGCCACAACATTGGCTTTACTTGGATGGTATAGAATTTCACAATCATAATCTTTGATCAACTCCATAGCTCTTTGTTGACGCATATTCAGAGTCTGTTGGTCGAAGATATATTTCAAGCTCTTGTGGTCGGTAAACAATTAGCACTTCGTGACATAGAGATAATGTCTCCAAAGCTTAATAGCAAACACAACGGCCGCTAACTCAAGATCATGCGTGAGGTAATTCTTCTCATATTCTTTCAGCTGTCGAGAGGCATATGCAATTACTTTGCCTCGCTACATCAACACGCATCCCAAACCCAATTTAGAAGCATCGCTATAGACCACAAAGTCATCATTGCCCTCGGGTAAGGCAAGTACCGGTGCACAAGTCAAACAATCTTTCAAAGTCTGGAATGCATTCTCTTAAGCCTCAGTCCATACAAACTTCACATTTTTACGAGTGAGTTAAGTAAGCGGTACAGCAGTCTTTGAGAAATCTCGTATGAATCGTCGATAATAACCCGCAAGACCAAGGAAACTACGAACTTCGGAAGCATTCTTTGGTTGTTCCCACTTTTGTATAGCTTCAATCTTAGATGATTCCATAGAAACGCCATCACCCGAAATCACATGCCCCAAGAATTGTACTCGACAAAGCCAAAATTCACATTTTGAGAATTTAGCATATAGTTTTTCCTTCCGCAACAGATCCAACATCTCCCGAAGATGTGAAGCATGTTCAGCCTCAGACTTAGAATATACRAGTATGTCATCGATGAAGACGATAACAGACTTATCGAGCATAGGACGACACACTCGATTCATCATATCCATAAAGGYTGCRGGGGCGTTAGTYAATCCAAACGGCATAACAAGGAATTCATAATGTCYGTATYRGGTACGAAAAGCTGTCTTTGGTACRTCCTCTTCACRTACCCTRAGTTGATSATAACCCGAYCTCAAATCAATCTTTGAGAAATAACTTGTGCCCTGCAACTGATCGAATAAGTCATCTATACGCGGTAATGGATACTTGTTCTTTATCGTTACCTTATTCAATTYGYGGTAATCGATACACATACAAAAYGATCCATCCTTCTTCTTCACAAACAATAGCGGAGCACCCCAGGGTGAAGTGCTCGGTCAAATAAAGCCCTTGTCTAACAACTCTTGCAATTGACTCATCATCTCTTTCATCTCGGCCGGTGCAAGACGAGATGGTGTCTTTGCAATTGGTGCAGCACCCGGCACTAAATCAATACGAAATTCTACTTGCCTGTCCGGCGGTAGACCAGGCAAGTCATCTGGGAAAACATCTTGGAATTCACATACTATAGGCACATCTTTCACAGTTTTCTTCACTTCTTTGGTTGCATCCAAGACATATGCCATGAAAGAAGAGCAACCCTTAGTAATATAACGCCGTGCTTTAAGTATAGATATTACCATCACGTCACCAATGCGTCTTTCCCCATAAATATACAAGTAGTCTCCGTTCTCGACTGGCAACCTAACCATCCTTTCATAACAGATGATAACCGCGCGGCTTTTCACTAACCAATCCATACCAATCACGACATCAAAGCCACGGATATCTATAGGAATCAAGTCTACGGAAAAGTTATGATGGTCTAACACTAAAGTGCAGTCTCTAAATACTCTATCAGCTACCAAAGGGACTCCATTAGCAGTATCAATGGTAAACGGTATAGGAAGCATAATTGGCACAGACTCCTAGTAGCGAACATAATCATGCGACACAAAAGAATTTGTAGCTCCAGAATCGAATAAAATACGAGCGAGTTGGGAGTTAACAAAGAAAATACCGGTAATGACATCTGGCTCATTGCGAGCCTCTTCCGCAGTAATCTGGAAAGCTCGAGCTCGTGCTTTGGGTACCTCCTCCTTTTGACTTGAGGAACCTCCCACTGCCGGTCGTTGCACCGACGCCTTACTTTCTTCCCGTCTCATACAGGGGCATTCAAATTGTCGGTGACCAAATACTCCGCAAGAATAACATGCTCGGTCTCTTTTTGGGCAGGTTGTACGAACATGGCCCATTTCACCGCAACAGAAACATCTCAAGCTCGTTGATTCAGTAAGGCATCGCCCTTGGTGAGTTTTTCCGCATCTTTGACAAAGACGTGAGGCATTCGACTACAATAGAATAGTGTTAATTCCATAATCCACACTTGTATGTCTACGGTATTAAAAAGAATTATACCTGAAGTGAATAGGCTTGGGATTGAGCACGCGGAATGTTTTGAGATTGACTCCGCCTCGGAGTGAAAGATCGAGATTGTCGCTGAGTAGGTACATAGAAGGTTCTTTCATTCCGTTGCCTTTTCGGCTCAAAATTTGGTTCATCAAGTATAGTTAAATCGTGTTCACGACGATGAGCGTACTCCATAGCTTTATTGAAACTTGGAATATCGCGATTGGCAACAAACTCCCGGATTTCTCGCCTCAAACCATCGACAAAATGTTCGATTCGTTCGTGTTCGGAAGATAAGAACCGTAAAGCGAAACGTGCCTTTCGGTTAAATTGAGTCTCATACTCAATCACAGACATGTTCCCTTGCTTGAGTTCTAAGAATTCTTTCTGAAGCCTCCGTTGCAAGTCGATCGGGCAGAATTGCTCAAAGAAACGAGTCTTGAAAGACTCCCAAGTCAAGCTTTCCCGTTCATCTTCAGTAAGGGATTCAAAAGTTGCATCCCACCAAGTGAGTGCACGTTCTGTCAACATTGCACTGGCATAATTCACTTTATCCTCGTTTAACACTCGAGAAATCCGAAATACCTTTTCGGTGTTTTGGACCCATTGCACTGCGGTTACTGGATCAGAGAGTCCGGTGAATTCAGTAACGCCGCCACTACGAAAGTTTTTAAACGAGACCCGCTCAGATTTGGCTATTGAGGAATCACCCAAGACTTTATCTTTACCCTTTCCCGTGTCATGCTTAAACTGTTTAAAGGTTTGTTCAACGAATGTCGAGAGTCGTTTCATTAATCGTTCACCACGGGGAGACAAGGGTGTATCATCCTCATTCAAGTTGGGATCGGGATTGTTTTCTCCATCATCGGGGTCTGGTGGAGGTGGCTAGCAGCGTCACCATCAGACATTGTCCTAAAAGGTGTATACATATAGAGAGTATTAAAACATATAGAGTATTAAACAACATCCTATCCATGGTCCCTTACTTAACTTTGGTCTCTCTTAATGGTCCATATCCCGTATAAATCATTACTTAGTTACTATATAACATCAACGCCTAGTTTAAGTCTAGATACCGATATAGATACCTAGTTAACTTAAACCACTGCTCTGATACCATATTTGTAACACCACGGTTACATAACAAACAATTACCGAACCACCATTAAATTAATTTAGTTTTAAAAAAAAACTCAAATTACGGGATAACGATATAGAGCCCAAGACACATAATTTAATACTTAAAGTTTACATAACGTGATCATCGGGGACATGTCTACCCGGAGCATACTAACTATTTACAATCCCAAAAGTTTAATATACATATTTATATATACCTAAACCAAAAGCAGCCTTCAYCTGYAAATTCCWATHGATCACTCGACCTTGTTCTTACTTTTGCCCAATTTCCCTGAAAGGTTAAAACCACTAAAAGGGTAAGCTATAAAGCTTAGTGAATTCAGGTGAAAATATGCGGTTACAAAGCATTACATAAGCATACATACTAGGAAACGAAGAAGTACTCGAAAGCAAGTTTGCATAGTACCAAAGAAACATTGTAATTATACCACACAAAGTTATGTATAAAATGTACTTTAAACGAGGGAATCATCAAGAAAACATCGATACGATCAACATTATTCTTTTCGAGATCATGTAAATTCAAATACCAATTAACTTTCACACAACTCATAAGACTTGGCACCGAATCCGTCCTTCCTCTCCCGGATTGTACCAAAGTCCTATACTCACCCCCTGACTCCCACTGGGCAGTGAGTATGGCAACCCTCTGATTGTCTCACCGGACTCCATGAAATATCGACAATTGGCGCCCAAAACACATCACAAAGATCAAAAGAAGCAATTTGACAATTCAAGGGGATATCCAAGATCTAACATGATTCATGGAAGAAAAGTAAAGCATATAAGCATATATAACCACAAAGTAACACATATCTCCACATAAACTCACAATGTTGTTAAATAAGTTCGGTTAATCAAACCGAAAGCCAAACCGAAAAGTTGAATCTCAACTCTTGTTCAATGATTGGAGAACACTTCCAAGGCCTTCAATTATGCTTAAATACCACCTGGAGTTCATATATATATATATATATATATATCTCCATTAGCAATGCACAACAATAACACATATTTAACCCTTTTTAATTCAAGCATTCTACTTTGTTTTCACTATATTGCACCTACTTGCAGACCTGTTTTTCCCACCTTAAACTCAAAATCATCTAATGACTTCCAAATATGAATTGTAGCCCTTTCTCATAGCTTTCTAGAGCCTATTTTTATTGATTTTTAGGATTTTTCAACAATTTTCTACGAATTTTATAGTATAACAGCAGAAGGCTGTCAAAAATCAGCTTAACCGCACTGAAAAGATGACGCTGTTTAGTCATCCTATAGTTGGAATTAGATTTCGATGTACAAATACGAAACAAATTAGACATTCCTAGATTTCCGATGCCACTGACCTCATATTTTTCTGATTTTTCTATGATTTGATATGATTTTTTCTAAAACAGTGCAGTAACATGGTTTTCAAACTCCAAAAATCTCATCTTTGTCCATTTAAGTATCCAATTCCATTCCAATCCTAACCAAATTCAAATGTTAACTTAAATTTATCATTATCAAGGTAAAATTAACAAGAAACCATGGTGCATACACCCATCTCTACCAATTTCACCAAAACCCGTCTTTATATAACAAAAGTCAAATTTCCTTACCATTTCTTGCAAATCAATCATGGAATCAAGGAACCAACGAATGTATAATCATAATCTAAGCATCAATTCATGATTTCTTCACTTATTTTAAACATGCATTAGCTTATCTCACCCAAATACTATCATACTTGATGCAACTTCAAGAACAAGAACAAGGATGAGATTTACCTTCAAATTGATGCTTAATCCTTCAAGATTGATGTTAATCTCCGTAGTATAAAGTTAGATTTGGTCTCCATTGATAAGAATCGCACCTAAATTTTCTTATACAAGGCAGTAGCTGAAATGGGGTCTTAATGGGTCAAAAATCGTGTTTTATTAGCTAAAACCCGAGTTGGGTCGGGTTTGACCCGGCTGGGTACTCATTTTTTACCACTAAACACTAAAAATGGCATAACTTTTTGCTCGGAACTCAATTTTCGATGAGGTTTTCGCCTACGCGTTTGTAACGAGATAATCTACAACTTGCAATAAAAATATTTCAGAAAACATCTCCCAATAAAAGCAGTTTTACTTATTCGTAACTTAGACGTTACTTTACTTAATTCTAAGATTTGACTTTTTGATCGGAATCGTGTAAAATTTTTCCAACACTTCTAACACCTCTGAAATGATTCTAAACCTAGTTACAAACCTTCAAATTGCAGAAAACATCTTTCGTTAGAACCCAACGCTCAAAACCATACCGAAACATGGCATTTTTAACACTTAGAATTCTTTTCCATTACAACAACCTACTTTAAACACTTTCAACTACAAAATACTCATTTTCAAGCCAATGAACATACAAAATATGATAATTGAGCAAGGTTAGTCAAGGGTATGTTACAAATACCTCTTTCTTTTGAGGATTTCGTCCTCAAAATCATTGTTGCTCAAAGAGTTGTGGATACATGGCTTTCATCTCGTCTTTGTTCTCCCAAGTCCAATTTGGACCTCGGTGATGCTTCGATTTGACCAACACCAAGTCTACAATCTTATTTCGAAGGTTCACCGTTCTTTCATTCAAGATAACTTCCGGTTCCTCCATGTATGTCAACCGTTTATCAACTTTTACCTCCGCTAAGGGAACCGCTTCATCATGTTTACCAAGACACTTTCGTAAATAACCCACGTGAAAGACATCATGAATTCCGGCGAGTTCTTCCGGTAGCTCTAAACGATAAGCTTGCTTTCCCACTCGCTCAAGTATCTTGAAGGGTCTAACAAAACGAGGACTTAGTTTACCTTGCTTACCAAATCTCAAAACCGCCTTCCAAGGCGATACTTTCAACATGACCATATCACCCACGTTGAACGCAATTGGTCGCCTCCGATTATCCGCATATGATTTTTGTCGATCTTGTGTCGCTTTCATTCTTTCTCGTATAACTCGGATCTTGTCATGAGTAATTTGGATCAACTCAGGACCGGCCAAAATCTTTTCACCCGTTTCTTGCCAACAAAGAGGCGTACGACACTTACGTCCGTACAAAGCCTCAAACGGGGCCATTTTAATCATTGAATGGTAACTATTATTATAAGAAAACTCTACTAATGGCAAGTAGATATCCCAGTTTCCACCGAACTCAAGTATACATGCCCTCAACATGTCTTCTAATGTCTGAATGATACGCTCTGACTGGCCATCAGTTTGGGGATGATACGCGGTACTAAGGGCAACTCGCGTTCCCAACTCTCGTTGGATACTCGACCAAAACTTGGAAGTGAATCGAGAATCACGATCAGAGATTACTTTCACCGGTACACCATGTCGTGCTATAACCTCGTCAATGTACAATCGTGCCCATTGATCCATCGAATAAGACTCGCGAACAGGAAGAAAGAGAGCGCTTTTTGTCAATCGGTCTATGATAACCCAGATACCAACCAACTGTTTCTTGCCCACCTCGTTCCAACACAACGGTGTTCGACTTTTTCGCCCATACAATACTTCAAAATGTGCTGCTTGGATACTCAAGTGATAACTGGTATTGTAGGCGAACTCAATCAAAGGCAAATGACTATCCCACGATCATCTGAAGTCAATAACACATTCCCGAAGCATGTCTTCGAGTGTGTGGATCGTTCGTTCACTTTTCCCCTCAGTCTATGAATGATAACCCGTGCTCAACTTTATCTGTGAACCCATTTCCCTTTGGAAACTCTTCCAAAACATACACGTGATTCGACTGTCTCAATCAGAAATAGTGGATAATGGCACACCGTGACGTGTTACCACTTCATTAATATACAGTTTCGCTAGCCGGTCCATAGAATACGATTCTTTTTGTTAAACCCCAACCTATGAAAGTGTAAGTAAGAAGTCTCTTACTCTAGTCGAATAAGACTTAGTCTATTGAAGCGGTCTGGACTACGAGCTCTCATGCAGAAGATCAAGAAACCAGAGCTCTTACTCAAGAGTGAAAGTTCCATTAATACAGAGCCTGTGCTCTATCCCCATGGACGATCAAGCCTTGTGCGCCAAAAAGCATAAGCGCTTGACACCAAGTTACAACTCCAAGACCCAGAGCCTTTGCATAGTACATGCAGAGCTTCTGCATATGCAGAGCCTCTGCATAGTACATGCAGAGCTTCTGTATGTTCATGCAAAGCTTCTGGGTACCTTCTGCATGGAACGTGCACGTTTTAGCTCAGACATTCTCGCAAGCATCTAACAAATTTGAGGCGGCTTGACCAAGTCTGCTCCGCTTTTCAAGGGAAGTCAAAGATAAGGATGCAGACCAGTCAACTCAGAGTTTCAAGCCTATTTTATAGCATAGTTTGTTAGACCTAGGCGTATATAAGGAGGCTTCCTCCTCAGGTTCAAATAACCTGAAGGAGCCGACTTATACTATACGTAAATTTTGCGATATTACGTTTTGCTTTGATTGTTCTTCAATTTTATCAATAAAAGCATTCGACATATTCAAGTCATTCAATTGTTTTTCCTTTCACTTTGAATATTTCGTTTAATCATTCTGATACACTTTAATCATTCGTTTTCATTATTTACACTGTGTTTTTAACAAGTTAAGAGTATCTGGGTTCAACAATTGGTATCAGAGC